GCATTCCTGACAGCTGAAGACCTGCTTCTTCCAAGAATTGGTCTTGATCCGGTCGTTATTCTAATCCAGTCTAGCCATTGCATGAATTTGTTCTTTCGGTAGCGGTAAGAGACAAATTATGAAGCACGTTATGTATACCCAATTTCTTGGTTCCATTAGGCATGTCATGAACTACATGCGGGATAATTTTATCGTACCCTTTTTCAACTTTCATGTGATTTGTGTGCTGCAGGACAACGGGACTCCCTGGAGGACATAACACTGGACTAGCGCTTGTGGCTGAGTTGTCGCAACGCCTCTCTCATGACTCGTGCTACGCATATGCGACTACATTTGATACGCATGCGTATTAATATGGTACTGTTATTATACCGCTCATACATGCCTGCTCTTGCCGTGCATGAACGCCTGCCACTGACGTGCATATATGCCTGCTATTAACGTACATAAACGCCTGCCACTGACGTGCATATACAGTGGGGGGAAATAAATATTCGTACACTTGAAAAATCGTATTTTAATGTATGTAAGTACACAAACTTAACAGGAAAAGTGATTTAAATTATGTATAGAGACGCATAGTATTCAAAAATACTATCAAAAGAAATTAAATCGCAATGCAACAAAAAACAATGCAACAGGTTCACTTTTCGGGTGAAAAAAGTATTCGTACAAAACAATAAATCCGCATTATTTTAATTTAATACTTGGTTGAATACCCTTTATTCAGCTCAACAGACACCAGTCTATTTCTATACGTCTCGACCATGATTTGCAGATGCTGACTGGTATTTTATACCATTCTTCTTGGCACACCACCTTAAGATTCTCAATGTTTGTTGGGGACCTTTTCTTAATTTGAATCTTCAAATACCGCCACATGATTTAATTTCTTTTGATAGTATTTTTGAATACTATGCGTCTCTATACATAATTTAGATCACTTTTCCTGTTAAGTTTGTGTACTTACATACATTAAAATACGATTTTTCAAGTGTACGAATATTTATTTCCCCCCACTGTATGCCTGCTATTAACGTACATAAACGCTTGCTACTGACGCGCATGCATTTCTGCTAATGAATACTGACGCCTGAGCAACACGTGTGTTGGGTGCTGCATTACCTGATCCTGTGGCCGCCACCAGCGCCTGGGCAACACGTGTGTTGGGTGCTGCATTACCTGATTTTGTGGCCGCCACCAGCGCCTGAGCAACACGTGTGTTGGGTGCTGCATTACCTGATCCTGTGGCCGCTATTTTTAACCTCATACCCAAGCTGCGCACTGCATGCTAACCTCGTTCGTTCTTTTGTTATAATTTGAAAAATTAGTTTAGCAAATTAGAGGCGACGGCGGCTGGACGTAAAAAATATAATCAGATGCATATTGGCATCTTATTACACGAGTTTTCCGTTGCCACCTCGCTATGTGGATTTACTGTACATATCGAGAAAATATAACGGACGGACAGACAGACGGACGGACATGACGAGCACAATAGCGCCTTTTCTCCTATAAATGAGAAAACGCGCTAAAAATAGCCTCCTTCAAACGATCACGGTATAATATTTCGTTAGTCTCGTCCAAGATTCCATGTTTTATTTATACCTGGATCGTGCGACACATTTTTAGAAGTTAAGCGTTTCTCAACAGGCGTGGCTATTTCAAACTTTCGACGAGATTAGTTGATCAAGATGGACACGCAATCTAACCAGACGTGTGAATTGTCACGCTTGTTTTATGGAAATTTAAAGTTTTTGTAATGGTTTTTGGAGGTGAAAAGCTGGGTGGGGCTGCAGTAATTAGCTGTCACTTTCATCGATCTCACTTTCGAGCGTCAATCCCAGTGTGCTAACCGGACTCGCCTACTGCAAAAAGTACTGCAAATTTTATTGCTGTCGTTGACGGAGTTAGTCCACCAGTCAATAAATGCTTCTAATAAAATGTTTGCCACTCAGTCGAGTTCAAACGAATTTTCATTGGAATGAACGTGGGTAAATAGTGATTATTTACGTGGGTAAAGAGTCACCATGGAGCATGGAATAAATGAGTGGTCCGCCATTATTCCTATTGTATATTCCAGTGGTTCTATTGTATAGGATGCCATTACTAATATACCTCCGTTTTTTATTTCATTCTGACGTATTGGGAACATCTTAAAAGACTCATTTGGAATAAGCTCACTAACAGTTTTCTCCTTACCTCCTACTTAGCGTACGTGCTGCTGTGCGTTGCTGTGTCTATCAAAATTCGAATACAAAGTAACTATTTTACGATAGCGAAAATAATTTTTACCTCTTTTACAAGCAATACAAAAATAATATAATCAAAAAAATGTTGCCAAATTTTTTAAGCCGTCGATGTAATTAAGTTAATCATTAAGCATCATTCAGTAACTTCATGCTCATGGTCGTTTTTATTACCACGCTTTTACCTTCTGTCTCAGCTGAAGGAAGTGTAACCATACTAAACTGATTCTGAAAACCTGCATCTTGAACTGCAGTGTTGGATGCCGTACAAGATCTTGTATGTGTAGACCCTCCGTAGGAACGCATTGTGTTTTTCTCGTAAGTGCAAAATGCCGGGCTACCTTTCTTGAAACTTCATACATTAGTTGCCGATGCAAGTTACCAACGTTTGCTCTAAAAGAACTCTGTAAAATTACTCGGAATTTATTTTGAATCCACACTCATGCGTCTTTTTAATCAATGTTTAACTGACTTACAATTAAACTTACTCAATCGGTTAAACTTACTTACTGACATAGTTAACTTACTTAATGACTTACAAAATTCCTGTAATAAAAATTCTTTCTTACAAAAACAAAAAACTCTTGATGTCATGATTTATTATCGTTCGTTGCCACCTAAGCATACAAAGATTTCCGCCCTGACGTCCAAAGCTAGAGCGGTCGTCAAGTTGACCGGGGCCTATACTTCCAAAACTCGCTAAGTGAACGTAAGTACTTACGCTTTATTTTCTTGTCTATGATTGGTGGATTTTGCTTGAAAGGCCGTCAATGATTGGCTGATGAACTTACGATCTCTTGACTTTTTTTTGAAAGTATAGGCCGTCGTGTTGACCGGAGCCCTCCGCCGCCGCCGTTGACAGCAGCGAAAGGATCGAGTCTGGTGCGTGTGATGTGGTACGCCAAGGTTAGGATCAAGTCCTGCTTCGGTCGTAGCTGTAATCCTGCTTATAATTTCAATCTTGCGGTTCACTGCAGTCATAGTTGCCCATCATCTTGATGAATAATTATTTTAAAGAATGTTAAGAGCAAGCATGAGTTCTCATTGTGTATTAGAGGTCTCGTTCATTATTTGCACCAAGATCTCCAACACATTTTTTGGTGATTAGGTATGAGCTGCTGGTTGTGATATAATAGCTTATTTTTCTATTTACGAGGCCAATTGGCTGAGACCTTTTTCAGATGTAGTTATATTGGAAGTATTTATGCTCCTATTAGTGCCTCATGACATGTATGTGGGCCTCATGACATGTACCTAATATGTAGGACTTTGCATGTCTGCGGCGTTAGTGGACGCCGTAGGCTCGACCGCGTTACGAAAGCCCATCGCAATACGCAGCCGCAACCTCTACGCAAAAAACCTGAACTGCCGCTGCCCTTGAGTTCTGTCACTGACACGAGGTGGACGTGGTTCTGCGCTCTAGAATTAAGGCAGGAAACGCAAAAATTTTTTTCTATGACGGTGTTTCTGTTGTAGACCTGGGCAATGTTTTGAGTTAAGTATCACGAGAAGGTCTTTCCCGCGGAGTCTTAAGCGAGTTACTGCAGTACGAACTTGATTTTCACATTATACTTTGAATATTAAAACCACCATAATTCGGATTGTAACGACTAGAGTGCCCGACCCTGATTACGAAACCTGTGTATTGCATTTCACCCTCTCGAGTGACAAGCTGCAATGATCAACATGCGAGTACTGTATGCAATTTATTCCATTTGTTCTGTCATTAGATTGCATAAATTCTTGCATTAATTTCAGACAATGTGCTTAATGCTTATACCAGATTCAGTGCACCACGCATTAACTTTCCTGAATGCATATTGGCCTCCGGGAAACTCTGTTTCCCCTCACATGTTCAATTTTCACAGTCTTCACACTCTTCCGCCATGTGGCACGTAGACTCTGGTGTGTAGTTTTCGTGTGTGGGACTCGCTTCACTTTCAGAGGCTCATGCGTGCAAGTACTGAACTATCGCACTTAACTGCAGTTGGCACTCGCGAGGGCCACAGATATGAGAACGAGTATGAAGAAGCATTCCGTAATTGCATCTAATGATACGGGAATGAATATCTACTACGGAGTAATGAATTACCTATATACTTGAGCAGTTCGCTTGTCTTTAAACCATTATCCCATTCGATTAAAATCGTTCTCCATCTATGCTTTATCAATATCCAGGATTTGATAGGCAGCTTCTTATTTAGTTTTCATACATTCATATTAACTTGCCTACAGGACGATAACCATTCCACATTATTTCTTGGTAATTTTCAATATTTTTAAACCGGTGCCACTTTGGAGTTTAGAATTGTTGTTGCTGCGAGCTATGCTCAAAATTTGTTTAAATATGATACGTTTGTTTCTGAGCGCGTGCACCTCGCGGCGAATGTGTGATCAAATACAGCGCAATGAATAGGGATACCGGCGCCAGGAGTGGGGGTATCTAGCGCTAGAGATCGGGGCCTATACTTTCAAAACAAGTTAAGAGATCGCAAGTTCATCATTCAATCATTGATGGCCTGTCAAGCAAAATCGACCAATCATAGACAAGAAAATAGATCGTAAGTAGGTACTTACGTTCACTTTGCGAATTTTGAAAGTATGGCCCCGGGATACTAGTGCTGGGAATCAGGATATCGGCATCAAATACGTGATTTTACCATAACTGTGGATGCCAGACTGAGGACTGAGTATATCGGCATAAGGACTGTGTGTGTCCGCATTATGACTGTAGATTCTGTCATCAGAAAGTTAGATAACAGCATCTGGACTATGGGTATCAGCATCAGAACCGTGGGTATCAGCATCAGAACCGTGGGTATCAGCATCAGAACCGTGGGTATCGGCATCAGAACCGTGGGTATCGGCATCTGAACCGTGGGTATCAGCATCAGAACCGTGGGTATCGGCATCTGAACCGTGGGTATCAGCATCAGAACCGTGGGTATCAGCATCAGAACCGTGGTAGCTGCAGAACCGTGGGTATCAGCATCAGAACCGTGGGTATCAGCATCAGAACCGTGGGTATCAGCATCAGAACCGTGGGTATCAGCATCAGAACCGTGGGTATCAGCATCGGAACCGTGGGTATCAGCATCAGAACCGTGGGTATCAGCATCAGAACCGTGGGTATCAGCATCGGGACCGTAGGTATTTTCATCAGAACCGTGGGTATCAGCATCAGAACCGTGGGTATCGGCATCTGAACCGTGGGTATCAGCATCAGAACCGTGGGTATCAGCATCGTAACCGTGGGTATCGGCATCAGAACCGTGGGTATCGGTATCAGAACCGTGGGTATCAGCATCGGGACCGTGGGTATTTTCATCAGAACTAGAGGTACGAAAATAAGAATTTTGGGTAACTGGATCAGAATTGTCGATATCAATATCATGACTGCAGGGTTGCAAAAAAAAAGTTTTTAAATTACCTGGCCCATTTGGGTTTTATTAAAAAAACCCAGGGCTTTACTTGAAAAAAACGGGCAAAATGAGTGAAATGGGTAGTTGTTATTTTTCCATTTATTTCATTTATACCGTAGGTACCTAGCTTCAAAGTTATTCTCATTTATGTTGATCATTGAAAATTTGATACTCCAGAGTATCAATACCTATTTGTACATTTGCCATAAATTTTTCATTTAAAAAATTTTCTAAAAAAATGATAATGACAATTTTTTCAGTACCACTTAAAATATTTTCTTCGTTAGGACTTGTGTGTGTTTTTTCTTATATTTCACATTGAGAAACTTAAATTTTATAAATTAAATTGACACCAAAGTTGACATTGATATTAAACTTGCAGTTTAGGTAGGGGTAACATTAAAAATAAACTCTGTGAAGTTTATTGCTCTAGCAATGATATGACAAAAATTGCAAAGAAGTGCCCACAAATTTAGATAAAATTGAAAAAATCACAAAATGAACTTTGATATTAAGGAGATATCTGGCGGTCACTTATTTAGTTCCATGCCATTGTGATAGGTAGGTCTTGAATAACCGTAGAGCAAGTTAGGGGGCCAAGTAAGTAATATTTCTGAAACTTTAGAAAGGGTGGGTATTTTTTAGGATCCTAATCAATGTGTTTTTTTTAATGGCTTGCACCATTCATTTAGGAGATGACTGTATTTTTTCAGTCTTAATAGATATTTGCTTGGGAGCTTCTATCCAGTTTCATTGCATTCTGAAGTTCAAAACAATCAAATCAATTTTATGCATTCTCAAGTTTTTCTTTAAAGCCGTATTCTACTCCACGTTTTTTTTTAAACCCAGGTTTTTACGTTAAAAAAAACCAATCCGGGTGGGTAGATGGGCATCTCTCCAGATGAGCATCAACCCTGCATGACTGCATGGGAATATTCAGATAATAACACTCCAATGCTTTAGCATCAAAACTGTCCAATTTCCTTTAACGATGTGCTAACAACTCTGTAGGCATTTGAAGTTTATGTTCAACAACATCCACCGTTCTCGCGACGGTTTGCGAGTTTCCTAGCTAGGCCGAGATTCACAAAAAAATCCCTCGCATATGTTCCGTATGTGAACAATAGTTTAGGTTATTAATAGCCTCCGCGCATAGAATGGCGATAGAAATTTGCCTGTTTGAATTTTATTGTTTCCACAAATTGTCGATCGAACTAAAGCTGGTATTTCATGTATTTTATTTAGCTAATTAGGTGATTATTCTCTTTTTTCTTGTAAAAAATACACAGATCGCGAATAATACTTCAGGAATTAATTTGAAATAATTGATTTATGCTGTATGTATCTTGATGCTAAAGTGTCACCTGTGACTGCAATTGTGTCAGGTCAGGATTGTGTCGCCCTGAGATGCCCGACCTCAGTAATGATGTATTTTGCGACACAATACGCGCGCTCCAGTTGCGACATTTGAGCGTTGCGTGCGACACACTGTTAGAAAAAACGGTGAAAAAACGGTCCCACTGGCGTTCTAGTGGCCGGTGGCCACGTGAAAATAAACTGTTTCGCCGTTTTTATCAGATATTTTACGGATTTCTAGTGTTAAATTAGAATAAAAACGGCGACACGGTGTTTCTTTCACGTGCTGACCGGCCACTGAAACGCCGGTATAATACCGTTACCGGTAATTTTTCTAACAGTGCACGTGCGAGTGCATATGTGTGGGGACGGCGAGATAAGGAGGAGAGAGCGTGTCGTCGACATGACGCCAGTGAAATACTTGAGTCTACACACACTTGTATTCTTGTTTCAAAGCCATGAGCAGAATTATTGATATTGTATGCAAAAAAGTGAGTGTGTTTGTTGTTACAGTTTGTTTATTGGCAGTGTTTTTCTATCTTATGGGTAGTTACCAAACCGCTTAAATTAGAAGGCATATTTGACATCTCTGTTCTATATTATGTAAAATGCCACGAATTCGTCGCTAACTTTAGCTCGCAACATAGCCGAATTTACGCTCATTATTTAATGATTTGTGGGATGTTAGAGATTATTAGCAATGAGGGCCATTGAGATATTGCGTTAGTGACCAAGTTCCCGAAAGTAATTTGGAAATTTCCTACGTTTTGAAGTACAATAAGAATTTTGGTTACTTCTGTCGTATAAAATAAAAGAATTGAAGTAGAAAATACTTCGAGCGTGTTCATAGATGTGTTATTGCGTGTGAACGAATTGTTTTTGCATCTCCGAATGTGTTTTTGCCCTTTCGGGAAAGTGTTAGTCTTTTAAACGAAGTGTTCAAGTCTGTTAGGAAAAGTGTTCATGTGTGTTAGAACGTATTCTTGCATTATAGACTAGTCGTCTTACACGTAATAACGTGATTTTGCATGTAAAGTGTATTATTGAATTTTGGAATAGTGTTCTTGTATGATTAAATATTTTCCCTGCAGGTTAAAATAGTGTCTTGGCATGTTAGAATCGAGTTCTTACATGTTAGAATGACGTTCTTGTTGGTCAGATTGTGTTTTGCATGTTAGAATTGTGTTTTTGAATGATAGTACAGGTTCTTGCATGTTAAAATTTTTTTTTTACTTATTATAACGCGTTCTTGTACGTCAGAATAGTGTTTTTTCATGAGAGATTGTGTTACTGTATTTTAGACTAGAGTTCTCGTATATGTATATAAAAAAACAAGATGTTCCATTAGGATACGAGTCGAAAAGCTACATTTCGAACGCCCGGATCACGGATCAATAAGTTGAGCTGTTGATTGATACTATAATGGACACTGGACTGATTTAACGAAATTTGGCTTATAGCATAACTTGGCTGCTACAGTTACTGCCATGGGGATTTTTGGCTGGTAAAATGATTTATATTCTACACCTTTCTCTCATAACGTATCATAGTTGATACAATTTGAAATGATCGGGTCTAACGCAGACCGCACGTGTTCAGTACGTGTTCCCGATGCAATGACATCAGCGCTGGTCAGTGTCACAGTTTCTACGAGTCAGCTGTTCAAGAGAGTGTGGTCTGCATGGCTCTATGTGGCAATTTGCTATCATTATAAGATGGGCATTAGAGACATAATTTTCTCAAAAAAATGCACCCAATTTCGAAATTGACTGATTTTTTTTTTTTGAAAATATGAATTTTACACTTCGATCAACTTGCGCCTCGTTATTTGTTATTAATTATTCCTTTCTAGAAAATATCGAAATTCCAGGGAATCATTTAGCTCTCATATTGTTCGAGACTTCTTGTCTCGCTATCGTCTCGGATCTCCTGAGTAAGTAGAAAATTGTTTTGGTTCTTATCGAAATCTGTACAAAGTCTTAGGATCGCCTCGTCTCGAATAAAAAAATTACTCAACGCAGATGCTTAATTTCTATACAACTAAACCCAGAAGAAGATTGGTCGTGTAACACGAGCAATAAGTCATACATTAAATTGGTACGTTTATCCAAGACTAACATTGACTGGCACTCGGTACGCCAAAGCTCGATCCACTCGTTTTGTGTTGTGTTGTTGACATGTCACTTGATTGACGTCGTATATCGCAGACTCAATGTCAGTGCTGGTAACACAGCTCAATATATGTCTTTAGATGTAAATTTTTACTTATGTGTGATATTCACACAATGCGACATGTGTTACGAGCAGTTTTATCAAATTACCAGGCAATTTTTATTGCGAAGTGAATTTATATGGTGACCTTGATTTGCTTTTGACATCTAAAAATTCGGAATGCTTCTGACACAGTTGATAAAATTTAAATCTTAAACGCTGGGTTATAAAATTCTGAATTGGGTACTTCTTGCGGCGAAATGCTTTTGTTTCCATACGGTGTTGGAAACCATACGGTGTTGTGTTTGTTTCCATATATGATGACCAACAAAATACAACTTTAGGGTCATGATAAGATAGTGAGCAGTGAATGTGCGTCTGCATGGTTGATGTGAAGGAAGTGAAGCGAGCTAGTTTGTAGAGCAGATGTTGGGTGCAGCTGTTGACCGGTGCAACCCTCAACACCTGAACTCGCTTATACCTGCGTGTATTGATGCCTGGTGATGATGCTCCCTATGACGAATGTTATGTTCGATTTTAGTTACCGGTTCATTCAGTTTGTCAGGTGAATTATCAGTTTCGTTTACGCGGCAGGGTTTTCATGGTTAATTATCATTAGTTTCGTTTACGTGGCAGGGTTTTCATGATTAATTATCATTAGTTTCGTTTACGCGGCAGGGTTTTCATGGTTAATTATCATTAGTTTCGTTTACGCGGCAGGGTTTTCATGGTTAATTCTCTTTAGATGAATTTTGACATTACGGTAAGTTTTCTTTGTCTTCCAGTAATACAATTAAGAAAAACTCTCACGGAATCATGACGTGAATGCCATCTAAATGATAGTAATAGTCATTCATTTTAGAATCGGTGTGGCGTTTTATAAATGTTCGGGTGAAATATGTAGCCTAATACGATTTAATAAAGATTTGTGGTGGAGCTGTTGGGTGTACGACTTTGGAGTTGAAAGTTCTACGATCTTTGCGCTTGTTGATCGAAAACTAAATGTACTTATGTTTTCTCAGGCTTCATATTTTCCTGCTGCTGAAGAAACTGTAATATTTCCTACATTTAATAGTTTTGATTGTTGGAAACTGTGGTGGCATGCTCGTTAAACCAGTGTTTGACAGGCTGCAACCCAGCCTAAAAAACACGCCTTAAGAACAACTTCCTCCGATTTCTACCGAAGCTCGCAAAGTCTGGCGCCGCATCCTTCCTCTTGTGTCTTCCACTGCTGTGCCTGTGCTGCAGATGCAAAAACTGCCACTGGGCTACACGCATTGACGCGACCTGCGCGACTCTTCCGGGATGTCGCGGTGGTGGTGTTTCAGTGGTTTCGTCTCGAAGTGACCCGGGAACCAGTTTTTTCACGTTTAAAATTCTATGATTCTCACGGGTTCTCTTCAGAGGCAAAATAATGTTTTTATACGACAATTTTCAGATGCCCGCGGACAGAAATTTAAATATATCTTTCTAACCAACAAATAAGTTGCTTGTTTTATTTTGCTGTCACTATTTCTACAGCGTTAGTGGCATACTTTAACTTACTTTAATATAGTTATTACACAAATGCATTTCATTGCTCATTACTGCAATTAAATGGCCGCTGAGTAATAATTTTTCACGCAGACTAATTAAGTGGTCACAGGTTCCTGGGGCTTCTAATCTTTCAGTAATCAGCGATCGTTTCCTTGTTTCTCTGCTCCACCATTAATGTCTTGTATGTGTGAATGCCGTCCTGTGTAAAAAATGCCAATTTTCAAGACGCATTTGAAACGGGTGAAATTATTTCTCTATTTCTCTTTAAATAGTTAGATAGGATTGAAAGGTTTTCGTTCAGAATGCTTTTTTTGCAGTATCAAATTTTCAATCAATGGAACTCCTATTTTGTCCCGTTTCAAAATAAGGAAAATGGATATTGTGTCTATAAATTAGAGTTATATTTACCAAGGGCAGAATAAAATTCGAAATTTTGATCCAATCCTTTCCTATTCTCTCATTTAAAATGAATGTTCAGGTCCCGGTAATATCGCGACACAGTACGTATCCTGGATACGTGCCCAAACAGCTACTACATATTCTGGTGCTATATATAGGCTTCAAACACACAAACACAAACTTTGGCTAGTATATATAAGATGATTTCTTAATCTCCGGAGGACCTCTATGGAATAGTTTCTCGTTAGATACATATATGCTTTCTAGAATAATTTAGTAGATGTATTTCATCCTTCATGGGATTCGTCTGCGAGTTTCTCATTGAGTTGTTACAGTGGATGTAGTCGACTGGGATTGCAGATTTATCAAGAGACCTAACCTGCACTGTAAACCTCAACTCTCTGCAAGGATTCAATTGCCTAAACTCGTGATTGCATTTGAAGCTTCCAAGAAGAATATCTCTAGTTTAGTAACTAACAAGAGTTTGCTTTACTTATTGCTAGAACTCACTCGGAACTTAATTTTGACAGCTTTGGGAAAGTTCCTGCCCTCGAAGAATTACGTCAGGATAAACTGATCGCCGCGCGTGCTCCCCTGCCATGTGGAGTTGCGGGTTTTGGCTCGCACCTCTCGTGGGCGTCTTCACTGCTTGACGCAGATTAATGAGCACATCTTGGGGCAGAAATCAATGAGCTATGGCAATGAATGGAGCCTTGAGGCTGCCAGCAGCACCCACAGAGGAGTTCTTTGCCCCACCGTGAATCATGCGGGTCTCATAATTGCTCTCAATTTAAAAGGCTCTGCTGGGTCTGACTCATCCTTGCATTGATGCTCTCAGCGCCCGTTAAACTAACGTAGCTATGAGAGCCACTCAAACACACGTAGGTATTGATTAACTGTACTTATCCGTATTGTAAGACATCATCTACTTATTATATACAGAGAATGCTGGTTGAAGATACGCTTCTACGAATGCGTGACAGTTTATGTTTTGAAGCTTACAAAATACGAGAGCTACATTTTCTAAACTTCAATTTCTAAACAGCTCCAGCTGTTTAGCACTTGTGAGTCACTTTAGAAGCTGGTATTTCTTTTTCGTTATCCAGTCATATTTAAGGTGTAAATCCTCAGTTGGTTGTAAGACAACTTCTCATAGTTTGCTGGTATGGAGAGCTGTAAAGTGATACGATGTTGCGCAGGTGCAGAGCGCCCGCCGACATGTCTGCATATAGTCGCCGACATGTCTGCATAGTAGCTAGCGCCTCTCACTGCGTGTATGGACACTTCGGGGCTAACTGGGGACTGCTTTCCCATTCTATAATTTCTATAAGATTATTTTTTCTATTTTTGCTCAATTTAAGTATTTTAAATACATTTAGTATCAAATGCTATAGAAAATGCTTCAAATTTATGGCCACTTTGGAAACAACAAATATTGAAACGGTGAAGTCTCTTGTTAGTTTACGCTCGGCAATTGTGCCTCCTACCTCACCATGCCCTTATTTCTGGTCCACCCACACGTACGTTGCATTGTACATTATGGCCATAGGTCTCTCAGGGGCTTCAATATGAATAAAGAGAGACAGCAACCATTCGCACCAACGCAGTCTCAATACTCGTGCGTCAAGACGTACCTTGAACTGCTGTTCGCATTGACTACTTATGTCGCAAAAATTAAACCGATTCCAAGCTTTAATTTTGTAAAATAAAGTGCTAGCCTTAAATGCTACTGCACTTCCGAACGACTTGGAATTTTTACCAGTCTAGGTATACCTTGGCTCCAGTCAAACCTCGGGTGCTCACGTATCAATCGATTCGTTCGATAACGAATCGTACTCGCTGCAATGTCTTCAAATTGCGACCAGGTGCTCTGGCATCGATTACTATGCACGAATTCACACCCCAACACTGATACCGAAGTCCTCCAGTCTGCTAGCTCGTTAAATATGACCGTGAACCGTTGACTTTTTATCTATCAGCATAATTTATAATTATATGTCAATGTTTCACATGCGGTTCACTGCTTGTACTCGACCATTTATCGCACTTTCCATGGCACCCGTGCACTGGAAGCACAGCGCTGCGAAGGGCTGAAGACGCTCGCGTCGATCCCTGGGACTCCGTTAGTTGGAGCTTGATTATCTTCGGCCTTCAAATAGCGAGCAACGTTCCGCGACACTCTGGATCTGAGATCGTGTTGTCGCCGTGGGTCAGAGATCGTGTCGTCACCGTGGGTCAGAGATCGTGTTGTCGTTGTGGGTCAAAGATCGTGTTGTCACCGTGGGTCAAAGATCGTGTTGTCACCGTGGGTCAAAGATCGTGTTGTCACCGTGGGTCAAAGATCGTGTTGTCGCCTTGGGTCAGAGATCATGTTGTCGCCGCGGGTCAGAGATGGTGTTGTCGCCATGGGTCAGAGATCGTGTCGTCACCGTGGGTCAGAGATCGTGTTGTCGCCGTGGATCAGAGATGGTGTTGTCACCGTGGGTCAGAGATCGTGTTGTCACCGTGGGTCAGAGATCGTGTTGTCGCCGCGGGTTAGAGATCCTGTCTCTTATACACATCTAGATGTGTATAAGAGACAGGTTTATTGCTCTAGCAATGATATGACAAAAATTGCAAAGAAGTGCCCACAAATTTAGATAAAATTGAAAAAATCACAAAATGAACTTTGATATTAAGGAGATATCTGGCGGTCACTTATTTAGTTCCATGCCATTGTGATAGGTAGGTCTTGAATAACCGTAGAGCAAGTTAGGGGGCCAAGTAAGTAATATTTCTGAAACTTTAGAAAGGGTGGGTATTTTTTAGGATCCTAATCAATGTGTTTTTTTTAATGGCTTGCACCATTCATTTNAGCATGCATACAGGCATGCAGGAGTGTCATGCATAACCATGCATACAGGCATGCAGGAGTGTCATGCATAACCATGCATACAGGCATGCAGGAGTGTCATGCATAATTAGCATGCATACAGGCATGCAGGAGTGTCATGCATAACCATGCATACAGGCATGCAGGAGTGTCATGCATAACCATGCATACAGGCATGCAGGAGTGTCATGCATAACCATGCATACAGGCATGCAGGAGTGTCATAATTAACCATGCATACAGGCATGCAGGAGTGTCATGCATAAGCATGCAGTAGGAAACTTGGTGTTGAATTGAATTACATGTCCGAAAAATATTATGTATATTAAATTTTTCATGGAGTGCGGGGTCAGGGACTCAACGCTTGCTTGCGGTGGCCGCTGAAAAGCTGCTAATTATTTTCGTCAGGGAATGCCCGGCAGCCTATCCCATTAATTTAATGCACATGTGCAGCAGCTGTCGTTTCTTGCGTTAGTTAGAACAAAGACATATGTAACCGTGACGTCAATATATTGACGTCATTGCGGCGCTTTTATTACTGATGCCAGTGAACATTGCTCTAGTGTTTCAGTGAAAAGAAATATACTTCTATTTAATTCCTTCCAGAATATCAATAGTAATGTGCAGATGACGCTCATCACATGTCATCCTTCATTCGAGCTCCCGCTTGCGTCAGTTACAGTCGGGATAAATTTATGTGGACGATTTGAAATGGAAAATCGATAATAATTTTTTGGTTTGTTCCCGTGGAGTTCATTCAGTTGCTTGAGAATTCAAGGTTTCTTTGCTGTCCGTTAGCATGAGAATAAGTTATTATATAGCTTAACCGCATTCTTATATACTCACACAAATTTGAGTGTATTTGTATAGGGAAACGAGGAACAGGAATAAAATCGTATTTAATCCGTTTCTTCAGAACTTTAGTCATCGTAATTCGTTCGGGTTAAACCTGTAAGGCCGGGTTAACCTGCCACTTATCACGCACAACCTGCCGAGTAGCGCTGGTCAAGGGAAGACCTGACCTGAGGTCAGGTTCCTTTTGCATGTTTT